GTGTGTGCGTGTGTGTGTGTGTGTGTGTGTGTGTGTGTGTGTGTGTGTGTGTGACTGGACAGATTTTAATTAAATTTAAAAATAAACAGATGAATGGCCTTTTGGATACAGACCTAAAATTTGGTGTGGTTGTAGTCGAGAGTCAATATCTGAGCAATATGCATTTGTTAAAATGATTTTATAATATTGTTTTGATGTTTCTTTCTATTCCTACATGTTAAACTCAGGAAGCAAATGCACTGTATAATATTACTTTGTTGTTATTCTCCTCAGGAACCAAGTGTAAATGGGTCAAACACTATTTTCTTCGACTCTGCTTTGTAACATAGTGGAAAAGAACAACAAAAGTAATTTCATTTCAGCTGAACATATTCAGTACTTTGCACAAAGCCCCAAAAGCATATACTTAACCCTTCCCATGTCCAATAAACTTTCCTCTGCCTCGGTTACCGACTGACACACGTCAAGTTCATATCTGCACACAAACCTCTAGGATCCTGTCTCCAACCCTGAGGGTGCCGTTATGTGCTGCCGGGCTGTCAGGGCTGATGTGCTTGATGAAGACACCCCTCATCATCTCTCCACTGCTCAGTCTTCTGCCCATTCCTCTGCCTCCCATGATGCTGATACCCAGAGATTGGCCTGGTGCTCGAGTGAGCCGCACTCTAAAACACAAACACTGCACAGCTGATGATCCTTCCAAAAGTTCAGGTGGTAAATGTGTCCTCAGAGCATCACTGCAAAAACGCACACCCAGAATTTGTGTGCTGGGTGTTCTTTTTTAAGTCTCCCACTGTTCTCTGCTTAGCGCTGCAGTTTCAGTTTCTGAGATTAAGTCAAAAACAATAAAAAAAAGCTGCTTTCTGTGTACAAGGCATATTAGTGATTTATCCCAGTGGGATGGAGCCACAAATGCAATAAATACAAGCGGGGAAAGTAGCCACATCCTGTGAACCTTAGAAACTTGAGCATGGCAAATCTGCTGTGCTGCTCTAATCCTACTGAGAACATAATTTGAGCACTCTTGGATACTGTAAAGCCTTTTCTTGTACATTGGCATGGAAAGGCAGAGTTTCAAAAACCTGCAAAAAAATGGAAAGATCTGAATGAAATCCATTAACAATTGTGATTGATTCTGCTGATTCACTAACCTTTTGGGCTGATCCCAAGATACTGTGGTGTGAGAACACAGCTCTTCATTTTCCTCTTCTTTACCATCCACCATTATCTGCACATCTGGCTTGAGGAGTTTTCCATCCGTATTTGTTTTGTCCCTTGTATCCTTTACAAAATCTTCATCTTTTCCGTTTTCCTTGTTTTTTTGAGGAAGGTACTTTGGAATTTTCCAACTAGTAGCAGAGAAAGAGACATTCATGGAGAAAAATAAAGGATTTTATAAGACAAAGCCTTTCCTGTTTTTTTTAAGTCAAGACACACAACTTACACTAAATGCGTTACATTGTGGAGCCTTGAAAAGATGCACTGATTAATGTGCAAATAGCTCTGAAAATATATATTTTCTGCCAACGGAGACACAGCAAGGTTGTTCCTCATGGTTTATGTGTGTGTGGGTGAATGTTAATACATAGAGTCTCTGTGTTGACAGTCTATATATATAAACACTGTGTGAGAGTGTGTAAGAAAGAGGCAAGGAAGAAGGGATTTTTTTTTCATGAATATGTTTAACGGTGTAGAGCTGTAATAAGCCCAAGGATGTGAGTGATAGTAGTGCTATCTACACAGCAGGAGTCTGCAGCCAGTTAATGTTCAGAAGAGGGCAGAACAAATGATTCTGAAAGAGAGCGGCCTGGAGAAGAAGAGAGGAACCAGGCAGGGAGGAGAAGCACAACGAGTAAAAGAACCAAGCAAGACAACTGAGAGCGAGATGAAAGACAGATGTGGGCACAGATGGAATGAGCGGGAGAGAGAGAGAGAGAGAGAGAGAGAGAGAGAGAGAGAGAGAGAGAGAGAGAGAGAGACGTGATTGAAAGATAAGACTGAAGAAAAGACGGCACCAAGTTATAGAAGTGAATGCAGGAGGGGAAAGAATAAGGCTTGAAGATGGAGTGAAAACAGGGACCGACAGAAGCGAAACAATTCATTTTTGCTGACAGTCAGTACTGAGATCCATAAGCGAATGGCTAAATATAACTCAGAGATTCAAACATTCAGAGAGGCACAGAGAGGAGAAAATTCAGAGACTAAGCTGGCTGCATCCTGCAGCAATCCTTCCTCGAGTTAATGGATAATTAAAGTGAAAGATAATTGCCCTTTAACACTCAGGAGACATGTAACATTATTAGCCACCTCAGTCTTTAAAAGCAGTACCATTAGGTCATTTACACATTGGTCAGTTCAACAGTTCAACATTTAGTTCTTGCTTTATTAAGACTATATAAAAGTCAGATTAAGTCATAATGCACATCATGCAACACTTGTTATTTGTGTAAGATTGTAGATTAAATTTAGTGAAGTTAAAAATACTCACAGAATCATGTATTTCTAACAGTAATGCCATTTTGCTGTAGAACTGTTTGATCAGCATGACTACAGGTTTATCATCCTGTCATCCTGTTGTATTTCAGCTGTTTTGGGTACAAAGGACTCATAAAACACAAGTCACTTCATACTCACCTACACCCACCCTCTCAGTCCAAATTGTACCCATATTGTCACCTTTTCATACCCACTTTAGTTGCTGTGGATTATACTTTTGTGCCAATGCAATGAGAGGCCCCAATTCAACATGAAGGTTTTTTGTCTGTGCCACTGCAGTTTGGGACTTGTGTAAAGATTAGATGACCACGGTTTGTATCATTTATTACCTTGAGTCTGATGCTGGGCTGATAGTAGGCACTTGGACTGAGCTTTTAAGCACTGTTTTAAATGAAGCAGAGGTCCTGACTGTGGTTGGATCTGGTGTTGTTGCTTCGGTTTTGACTGAGGCAGACAGTCTGAGGGTTGATGAAACTGGAGGGCTTGGGGATCTGGCAGTGGCTAGTGCAGGCTCAGGAGAAGGTGTGGGTAGAGTCGGTGAAGATGATGTGCTGTCTGTTGTGATGGAAGCCATGGGGGGCAAACACAGACGACTTCGGTATTCATCCACCAGATGAGCTGGAACGTAGATTATACTGAAGATGGGGGGGTGGGGTCAGAGTGGGAGTGGTGGGGGAGACATGTTAAACATTATCTACGTAACTCTTCTTCACAACTCAGTTTATAAAGAATTATGTCTGAAAAGATGGGGCTCAATTTCCACATATAGACATTGTAGACATTGTTTGTTGAGGATAAGAATAGTAGATCTCTGTGAGTGTAAAAACACACAAACAACTGTTTTTAATATTTGGTTTATGGTAAGAAGGTGTTCTTGGAAGGGACAAGTATTCAACAGATTACTGATGAGTGAACATGATCTGGACTATCAGCATTTGCCAGCTCAAACACAAATCCATCAATTTAGAAAGACTGCTTTAAGTACTAAAAAGTCAAAAACAGATATTATTCTTTGGAAGTGGTTGAAAATAGTGATGTTCAAACATAGCAGTTGCTGTGCTAAAACTACTWTGATCTTAAAAAAAGAATGTTGTTTCTGCAGAAAGTACCTGAGGCTGCAGCTGGTGTACATGCAGATACTGCGGGTAAAATAAGTATTGAACATGTCAACATTTTTCTCAGTAAATATATTACTAGAGGTGCTAATGACATGAAATTTTCACCAGATGTCGGTAACAACC